AACACGTACGAGAATTCAGCTGTGGTATGCTCTACTACAGAACACTCTATCTGGATAGTAAAAGGGATGCTCTTTACGTTGGCGCGATGTAAGTAAAACTTTTATTCTTTTCCTTTAGCCAATGTTATCTTTTCTCTCTCTCTCTCTCTCTCTCTCTCTCTCTCTCTCTCTCTCTCTCTGTCCTTTTGTCTTTCTTCTTTTTTTTTCAACTTTTATTTCTCCTCAACGATGTTCGAGGCAATCGCATGAAATGAAAAAATCTACAGGGTCAAAATCCATTCGTTACGTTGTTGATATCCAAATAAAATACATACGTGTGTGTGTGTGCACGTATTTTCATATTTCTCTTTTATTTTTTTCTATTTTTTTTTTTTTATTTTTTCTTGTTTTTTTTCTTTTCGATTTTTGTATCCACCATTAGGCAATTTTGATCATCGACAACAAGCAAGGGTTTTAACGTTAAACGTTTAATATCGTTGGTATAAAGTCGAGATATATCTACTTGATTAATCACGTTAAAACGCCAAATTACCTCAAGCGATATTATACGTCTGGTCAGAATCGATTTACCTACGATCGATTATACTCTCAATAAATACACGTATGCTCACATGCGTATCTACAAACACGCAAAAGCTTTCCAAATATTACTTTGATCATTTACCGTCAATCAGTTCATTTCGTTTCATCGTTCAAAACCCAAAACGTTTTGTAGTTTCGTTTCGATTTAATCCCCCTCTACGCACAAAACCAACATTTCCTTTTTTTTCCTTTTTTTCTCTTTTTTTCTTCTTTTTTTCTCTTTTTTTCCTTTTTTTTTTTTTTTTTTTTTTTTTTTTTTTTTTTTTTTTTTTTTTCCCTCTATCAAAAACGTATATATATGAGATCCCATCGTATGAAAACGATGGCAACTGTAGATGACATTCGAACGTGCTGATACTTATTTCAAGGACCGAATTATGTATAAATTGTTCAAGCACACATGATATCGATCGTATAGATAAATGAACGTGTGCTTGTTAAATGATACTGAATGAATTCTATGGATAATATTAGTAAATATCAAATTTACAATACTTTAACATGTTAAATAAATTCACGAATAAATATTATATAAAGTTTAATACTATTTGTAAATTTGTAAAATTTTATTTAATAATTTACTTTATCAAAATGAGAAAAATGAAGAAGATCCTTGATATTTAACATGTATACGTATTGATACGGATTAGATGGCAAATCTAAAAAAAAAAAAAAAAGAAAAAAAAAAGAAAAAAAAAGAAAGGAAAAAAAAGAAAAAGAGAAAAAGAAAAAAGGAACGGATTTCTCATTTGATAATGTTCAATGACGATAGAAAAAGTATTAGAAACGTACGATAACGACGGAGATAGAAGATCACGGAGGGAAAGATATAACTATAATTTCTCGTCGTCGAGAAAGAAAGAGTCGAGAAACTCATGAGAGAGAGAGAGAGAGAGAGAGAGAGAGAGAGAGAGAGGTCATGAGATGGTAGTGATCGTGTTTGGCACGAGTCCACTCGGATTCTTCTATCTTTCGTTTGGAAAGAAGAAGAGAAGAAAAGAGAAGATGAAAGAGAAGAAGAGTATAGGAGATTTGAAGATGCCTCTAGCTACTCCGAGGACACTGCTCTCAACGACGATTCTCCATTACCGAAACTGCGTAACATTCTGCTCGGCATTTACCGAGTTAAAGGGTGAAGAAGAAATTGTATAAGAGGGGGGATGGACTAGGACGGAGTATAAAGAGGGAAGGAGTATGGAAGAGGTATCGGGGTATGGCGGAAGAGGAAGAGAGAGGGAGGTGGAGTCGAGGAAGAGATCGAAGCGTGGTAACAAAAGAAATACGTTAGCAAATGGACGTCGAAATGGCGAATGGAATGGCAATGGAGAAAGGATATTTGGAAGCGAATCAACGAAAATAAAATTTATCTTAGTATAACGTTAACAATGAGATAGACCAACTTTTATCCTAGATCAACAAATGTCTATGTCTTTATTAACGTCCCCCGAAAAAAAGAGAGACCCTTCGTAATTTCGTTTTCATTCGATTTAATCGGTTTTTCTTTACAATCCTTAACAAATATATACCCTTACTCCATCACATTTTATCATTTTTCTATGTTTAATAATAATGATACGTTTGCAGATTCGTCATCGATCTCTCTCTCTCTCTCTCTCTCTCTTTCTCTCTCTCTCTCTCTCTGTCTCTCTCCTTGGTTAAACGACGATGTTTTCACATTAATCAGTTTTACTTTTTCTTTTCTTATTTTCCTTCATTATGTTTGAAAGGAAAATTTTCTTGAAGGACGTTAATAATGAAAATGATCGATGTTCTAGATTATATAATTTTTTGTCGTTCTTATTTTCTTTTACTTAAATTTTTCTTTAAGTCGTTTTCTTGGTATTGCTTTTAAACGAGTACGAATAATAGGTTCATTATATTCTTTTTATTTCTCTCTCTCTCTCTCTCTCTCTCTCTC